CATAAAGCCCAAAAACGTCGTAGTGGTCGCCAGGTGAGTTCCATACTAACTGCTTGCCTACAGTGCTCTGTGATTAGATCTCATCTAGGATATTCTGTGACCAATAAATCCATGAATCCATGAATGAATAATCAGGTTGAATAACTTTTTGGTTTATTCAATGCATTACAGGCGCCTTGAGTGACACCAATATTGAGATATACTGAAAACGCGTATATTTTCACGTGATTCGGTTGAGATATAATCTCGGATTTCTTCAAAAAGTGAGAAGGAGATTCAGATTGACTGTTTTATTGTTCGAGAGTTCCTCGATTGCGTATCAACTGATAACCGAGTTATCCGAGCTGCCTCCTCTGGTGGTTTGTTTCACAATCTTTTCTGGTCTCCTTTTTGGAGCTTTGTTTTTGTTGTTTTCACTGATGTAGCTTCATGTCTTTGGGCTCTCGTTCTGTCTGTTCACAATCAACTGTGGGCCTGTTTCTACTCGATTCAAGTGAGGGAGCGCTTTATGCATCCGAAGGTTGCATTTTCAGTGATTTACTTGCTTGCAATAGATATTCAGTTTCAGTTTGAACAACCACAAAGACCGGCTCTTTCGTGCGCCGGTTTTGGTTGCTGTCTTTTGGCTGCACATGTGGGTGAACGGTAGGATACAGGCAATAAAGTTAATGGTAGGCAGCTCTGCTGTCGTCCGGTTCAGTACCACGCCTAACTTATCGGGGCCCTATGTGGTTCTCCATTCCGAGTCCCAAGGCTTAGGTTACCGGTTTCCACCCCTGAACAGCAGGTCCTCGTGACTATGGAGTTCGCGTCGTCTGCTGTTCATCATACTTAGATTTGTGACGAAAAAACAGAACTAAAGACTAATGTTGCAAAGAAGATACACAAAGGCCACTCAGCCGTATCTCTCAGTGTCTCTAACCATCGTTTACGATCATCCCGAGGTCCCTCGCCAAAGAGCCGAACGGACCTATGTGACCCAGTCTTCCGGTTAGGGTTTTCATACCCTCATGCCAGGTCTTAGCTTGACCATTCCCTTCTTTGTTCCATCAACCATCGGTCCTGGAAATTATTGCGCGCCGTAGGAACTTATCTGGTGACATGCGCAACACATGCCTCAACCAACGTAATCTATGGAGGTCGACCACTTATTCCAGTGGGCGACCGCGGATACCCAAAACTTTACGCCTAACCTCAGTATTGCTCATCGGGTAACCCCACCAGATTCGTGAAATGCTGCGTAAACAGCGGTATTCAAACAGCGACAGTCTATCCTGTTTTCTTGATGGCCAAGTTTCTGCGCCGTATTGTAGAACTGTCGCAGCATACACTCGATCCTTCACAGAAAGCCGGATGTCGCGACGGCGCCGCAAATGTCTCAAGTTGACAAATGCCATGCGAGCGGACACTTCATCCGTGAAGAAATAGGTATATAAAAAATTGCAATCCACAAAAAATAAGTGTTTCCTCTTGATGGATGAGAATTGTCTCACTTCAACAGGGCAAGGTATGAAAATATGCTGTTTAATTATGTGTAAGTACGCGCAGGAGAAAGTTGATATCTAAAGTCAGTTCAGGGATTAAACAAGGTTTTCACGTTTTTGCAATTCAGACTCCCCTTGACCGTAGTGTTTATGCAGCCTTTTCTGACAGTGTTTGAATTCTTTATTGATTGCCCCGGTAATTGCTGCGTTAGTCTGCTATGTGGTGTCTTTTATCATAGAACTAGTCATCTGTATAACGTGACCTTTGCCCTTATTTTTTACTAGAATGGAAAAAATGTCGGGAACAAGCGCCGCCGGATGAACTAACCGGGGTTTCACCCTTTGATTCTTGCCGTTTATATCTGAGCCCTGTTCACTCCGTGGGTATAACCTATCAGTTTTACCATTGCATGACACCTGGAGCCATGTACAAAGTAACACATTTGGATAAAATATAATCGTTCGAAAAATGTACCATGTTTTCTTGAAAGTCAGCTGTCATTTGGGTTGAAATACTACCGAGTTGGAAAAATGTTCCCTCTACAATTCATGTAATCTGTTTTTAGCTTTGGTACAGTATTGGATAATGGTTCGAAACTCCAGAACGTTTAGGAAGCGTATCAGTTCTACCTGCTTGAAACGTCGAGTTACGGAATCTTCCGATTTGACGAAGACAAAAGAAAGTCTCGAGACGAGACAGAATGCTGTGTCCTTGCGTCGACGTGTGACTTCACTGAGCAGCAACGCTGCTGCATCTCAAGGTGATGCAAATTCCCACGGTCACTCTCGATCTAACTTCCATACAGAACGACGCCGACGCTTGCAGACGGTTATCCGAGAGATTTACCAGGGTGTTCGGCGCGCACACCTGGTGGCTCGTTGGTCGCAAGTGATTGATTTGATGCAGTCGAATCGACATCTATTAAGGGACCAGTTGCGCACTGCAAAAGCTGCGAATTTGTCCGCATCTTCTGTGCTCGCATCGGATGATCTGCTCTCGTTAAGCAACGATCCAGCGATGCTGTCATCGCCTCCCCCGACTGCAGCACAACATCAAGCCATACTGGCGGAACCTGTTGAAATCCCTCAACTGTATAATCAGTTCGGTCGTTTTGAGGCACGAATCGGAGGCAAACTGTACCGGGTTGGGTTGAACATGATTCCCCAGGTGAGTGTGCCTCCTGCTCAATACTGCTTATTTAGCTGTCATGTTATTCATCAAACGGACTTGTACAATACGGTTCTAGAATATCAGACCATGTTTGCTTCACGGATTGTGACTTATTCTCCGTTTTCTGCTATTATTTCTCCCAAAATGTGATCAACAGACCCAATCCTTTCAAGAAATTAGCAGTACAGATATTTTGTCAACAATTCCTCCAAGATGACATACTTTCAAATTAATTTTATGCTATACTCCTATACTTGGATTACTGATCCTCGAAACATAGAACTTGAAAAAAATGCTCTACTCTCTACTCAATTGGCGTTTCTCGATGCGCTTGTCTGTCATGCAATCTTCGTAGGCATAATTTAGAGCAAATGGCTCGACCCGGTAGAAGTCAATGGTTTCTGCATGCGTGCGCACATGAGATCGATCGCACTCTTCTAGAATTCTTACATCACTGTTGTGATGTACTTGCTTTCCATGTGCTTTTCTACGGCGATTTCACTGCATAATGCTCCTCAGAAATATTGTGTTACATTCCAGTGGAGATTGCCTTAATTCATACTTGGAGTCAGTTTATCCAACTTACCTCCTCTGCAACTGGGTAATCATGCGATCCTTCCGTAGAAGCCGAAGTCCGATCTCGCATATAAGCTAGGAAGCATGGAAAAGCGACAGGAGCGAACGGACTTTCTCTCGATCTTCTTGCGACGCGGAGATGACCTCGTAAGTTCTGCAGGAGGGCATTCCATCATCCTGCGGCGAATCACTGATCGTTGCCATTTTCACGAGGGGATCGCAACAATGAGTCCCAGAAGCACGTTAGCTTACTGAGGACACTACTCACACTAAGGGTCGAGAGAGTATACAACAGACATCGTCTGTCTGTTGGAATATATCGAGGAAGCTCANTATGTGCTTTGCACCTTCAAAGTGCAAAGTGATACTACAAGACTGAGTGTCTCCCAGTCCCTCTTTGAAACCAAATGGCGAGGAATTAGTTGCATTGGACTGCTTTTCCCACTTGGGTAGTTGCGTGATCGATGTATTTCATGTTGCCTAATATATTGTGTATTGTACGTCACTTTTGCTCGTGAGCGTGACGGTGATCAGTGCAGTTCGTTTGATTTTGTTTCGCTTTACGATGACGGTGTTATGTGTTTAAGTGAGCGGTACCGGCGATGTATTATTTGATCTGGTTCGCTGCTATCTGAGAATCAGCAGACTGAATTCTTAGTAGCGGCGTTTGTCGAATGGCGTGTGTTTGTTTGCGCCGAAGGTGGATGAATCTAATGGAAAATGGTAACTTCATCGTGTGATGTTCATATGTATTCACCAATGTCGCCACCCTTGTCACTTATCGACCAGTTTTTACTGACCACTGCTAACTAAACGAAGGTGAGCAGTTGAGAAAGGTTGTTATTCTTTTTAATGTGATTACCTATGTAGGTGATTCTAAAGTGAACACAGATACAACTCCAGTTTGGAGTATATGTAAAACGCGTTGGGGAGAATTCACTAGGGATAACAATGTGGAAAACTTCCCAAAAATGGTACAAGTTAGGTAAAATAAAATACCGCAAGGCCTGTGGGACTGTTGAAGCATTGGCAGCCGGATACGTTCGTCAAGTGTAGCCAGAGATAGCTGAATGCTAAAATGCTCCCTAGAATGGCTAATATTTCTTTGCATTTACTCGGCTGAATTATTTCGCTCGGAAGAATTACTCTCGTAACTCTTGGTCGATGAGTAATGGGACCGAAATAACCTCCAATTACCGTGGGAAATTTTAATTATAATTTTTTTTTAAATAGCAGCTATCGAAATCTTGTGATTAAATTAACAGTTTCATCTAAGCGGTTGTGACATTAGAGTAGCATAGGCGAGGTGCGTAATCTGGTCAAAATGAAGAAGATAACCGTTGAATATCTCGTCTCAGTTTAGTACTCTCCACAGCGGTGTGACCACCACCATGTACTGGTTAGCTATATCAATTGCTCACCTGGACTGTTCCTAAAAAAACCCATCACTGTGTGTGGGTGTGTATGTTGTGGCAAGTACATAGGTGTACACACGCGTGCACGGATGAGCATGTGCCTCAGCTGGGTCCAAGCCACTCACCAATCTAAAGAGATCTATAGGCATAACGGTGATGGCGATTAAAAGCGCTTGAGACAAGAGAATAATCATTCCATTGCAATTTGTTTCAGATTGATCCTGTTCCCCAAATGTGCACTTGGGCTCCGGTCCAACATAATTTTTCCGTGGAGGATGAAACAGAATTATCAAACTTACCATATATGGGTGATGATCAGGCACAAGAGGATGCGAGCTTTCTCGAGGAATTGCTAAACAATTATGACGGTCGTTTGCATGGCAATTTCCCATTTGATTTTGAGGAGGTATTCCTCGGTCCGTTGGTCAGTGAAGTAGCCAGACATTGGCCTGAAATTAGCCGCAAATGCGGTTTACCTGTCGCCAATTCAGGGATAACAGACCGAGGGCTTCCGGAGTCAGAAACTCACAATGCATTGGGGGATACAACAAAGGCCGCATCTCGCACAGACTCCAAGTCACCCCTTGTATCTGCGACACGGAAGTCCAAACGAATTCGCTCGGACACGGATCCGGATCCGGATAACCAACCNCCAACCACTTCCCACCTCCTCACCGGCTGTGAAACGCTCGAGACGCTGCCGGTGGCCTACTCGGAATTCCCTAAATGTGAGTTTGCGGTCCTCTGAATTGTTTTGTATTTTTCGCATTGCTGACAAGTGGTGTTGCTTTATTCTCTAAAATTAAGGATTTTTAGTCTAAAGTGAGTGAACTAACAATCAAAATCCGCGGCTATAACCGGATCGGTGCACCTCTGGCGGCAGTTCACCTTGGGGAATTGACTAAAAACTTATTCTTAACGAACCAAGAAAAGGTACTTGAACCAGACAAGCCCGCACTTTCTTGTTTGTGGCAGTGGTCGCCTCGATTCAGCATCGCGGTGTACTGGAAGCTTGACCTCGTCCAAAGGGCGTATGATCTGATGAATTGGACACCGGCCTCCAATAGATGGTGGTTTTCGTACACCGTCCCGCCTCCCAGAGGGTCAAGCTTTGGTTATCTGCAGTCTCCGGTGGTCAATTCCCCAAGAAAATTCACATGCGTTGGTCTGGCCAACCCGGTGGTATCGTGCGAAGAAGCACTTTGTTGAACCTTTTTTTTATAAAAAAATCACTGTACTGTGATTTGATTGGCACGCATCTCGGATTCGAAGGTGTACGGAATTTAAAAATGAATCCATCCCTTTGCAAAAGGAATCTTGATCTGGGTACAATGGCCACGCTTAATGGGGGCTAGTTTCTATCTCTTATTTTCAGACGGTTGGTGGTTGTGTTCAGTTACCCCTAGGAAGCCATTGGCTCTAACTGATTCCACGTTTGATTCCTGAGGATCCACCCATCCGAGTTTGTCTCGAAATAGACTCAAAATTTTACTTTGTATTGTGCTCGAAAGTTCCTGGGTAAGGTTTTATAGTTTTACAGTTAGATAATGTGTGTCGTAATATAATCGTAGACATGAATCATTAAAGTTTTTGTGTACATATCTACTTTCGTTTGTCACGTTTGTCTTTCATCGAAAACTGAACAGTTTTGCAGTAAATGGTGTCGGCATGCCTACCTGATAAATAAGTTACGATAGAAATTGCATGAAACTGCTTTAATGCATGATACAGAACAGCAGTGACATTTTTCAACCCATAAATAGGTCGTTCATAATGTCCTTTCATTCTAGTCCTCATTCTAGCACATGTTTTTATTTAATTTGCGCTTCTAGTTAACTCTAGGATTCGAACGTGAAACACCCGGTTCATCAAACCTCCCTTACCGTAGTTTGGTACGTTCATTTAGTTGGCATAGACAACTCCCGTCCCTCATAGTAGTGATTATCATCGAATTTATACATACTAGAAATTCAGAGGCCATTAGCTGATTCGTGAATGCGTTTATCTGCTTTATTAGTCACTGTTCCGTTGAAATGCGAGTGTCAGATTTTTCATATGTATACTGTGTTTGTTTCGACACCTCATGGCGGATCAGGATTTGAGTGGCCGGAGGTGAATTTCCGAGAGAATCACACTTCCGAATACTGCACCCGATTACTTGTTACAATGGATAATCTTTCACGATTTGTTTGGCACCCAGTCTGAGCTCACTCGAGCGTTTATATGGCAGTGATTACTGCGGTGCACGAGCATGCTTTGATTCCCAGGTTAAGGAATTTTTAAATGCCATCTGTCAACTTTGGTGATTGGCATTTTCGCTGTCTTTCGGATCAACTCAACGGCCTCACTTGCCGAACCTTTTGCTGTTTCCTGCCCCCAGTTTAGTTGCTCAAGATGCCGGTTCGCATGTATAAACTGACTATGAGGTAGACTCTGCCGTGCCTTGCATGCAGTGAAAAAAACTACAAGATGCTCAGGGAAAACACCCGTAAAAACCCGTTATTAAAAAATTTAAAACTATACCAGAGCGCAGGCAAACGAGAATTACGCCTCATCATTATCAGAACCGCATTTCCATCTTTCTGTGTCCTGATCTCTTGTTACCAATTTGCCAGACCACGGTCACTGTGTAGTCGATTTTGAAGTGAATGACACCAATTTTTTAGAAATTTATTGGCATCTCTCAGTCCCCAGAACAAGTCGACGGTCATGCACTTCGTTCCGCGTCGTGTACGAGCAGTCCAGTCAAATCTGAGGAATCCGACTTAGTCGCCCGCTCTAAATCTGTCTCCGGCGGACAGACCGTGCGGAATGATTTTACGGAACAGTCACCACACGGTACTACTTCAAATTCTCTTACGCGCGCTTTGGACTCACCCGTTAGTGTCATGCAGTGTAATACAAATAGTCCTCTCCGAATCAGACGAACCAGTGGTCCCAGTGTTCCGGATGCCGTTTTCACAGTAAGTTTTGTTCCTCATTTTTGTCATTGACCCATTTTGCATTTGTCCTCTCATGTTTCTACACACATCACGTACTGATTAACACATGCATGCCGAATAATGGGTATTCAAATTTTTCCACTTACCCGTTCGTTTATTTATGTCTTTCAATATAAATAAGG